TTTTGTTATTGAAGGAGAAATGGAGAGGTTAGTAGTGCGATCGAACTATTCTGTCACTGAAGAGGAAGGTAGATAAAGCTGTGCTTATACTCGAAGTTAGTCGTACATCATGATGTTTGATCTAAAACATTTCAGTTATCAGTTAATATCATTGGAATTGTTATTGATTTTACTACATAAGAAATCATTGACAATGTTTACTACTTTCAAAAATGCAAGAAAACCTTTTCTCTCCCTTCGTAGCACTTCAAGTCGTGCCAGTTTCCCTGAGGCAGTGTCCTAAGCACATGTCAAAACAATTTGCTGGGAAGGTAACACAAGGTCACCGTGCCTAAGGTAGACCGATGAGGATTATATAAACACTCAAAACCCATAAAATTTTTTAGGAAATCTTCACGTCTTATAGTTGTTCAAACTCATAATTCATGGATAAATCGGTGTCTATCTTCAATCATCCTCCACCTTCACATCACATTCCTCCAAATGTAAGTGTTAATTTATAGTTTTGTCAGTTTAAATTTCACGTTACATTGCCTCCAATGAGTTAAAACCTTGTAGATGGCTTATGTAAATAACGTACTAGCCGCTCAAAACGATGCCATTTATAGAAGACATTGCAACCTTGTGAGTAATGTAGCTCTTCAAGAGATTTTATAAGACTGAAATTTATTGTGAAGTCGTTTTATAGACAATGCCGCTCCAACAGCTTCGTCACGCATCTCGGGAAGACGCTATACTTCGTGATGAACTGAGAGAAACTCGTAGGAGATTGACAATGATGGAGAGAAGAATCGAAGAGTTTGAGGTAAATGCAGCTTTTGAACATTAGTAAGGTAACGGTAACGGTAATGTGAGAATCCGCTACACAATTATGATTTCATAACCCAGTAGCATCGCGGACAGTTTTGGAAATAAACTTCTAGCTCACGTTTTCGCACTTGAACTACGAAAAAAATATTTTCGTGAAGTTGTATAAGAAGAGACACCTTTTTAACGACGCCTCTTATTTTCATCAATATCAATGCTTGTCTGATGTACAGTTCAATAATATCTCCTCACCGGTAGAGATTTGTGAAATCAAAGTACTAAAACAGCAGCATGAGCATTTTACGCAACTGTTCACGAATTTTCTTTACAACCTCTTCGAAATGATAAACTTGATAGCAAGAACAAATTTTTCATTTCAGAACCAGGTACATCCCAATAAATCCAGACCTCCCACTAACCTGAAACGAGGATATGAAACTGCGTTACGCGAAAACTCTGCTCAAAATATGGTGAGTATACTCACCATATTTTGAACCTTTTCTCTACAACCCTCATATATGAGGGTTCGGTGACCCTGAAACAGTATTCGCAAAATAATTTGTTGAAAGCGGAAGAGAAAGATGTAATAGTTTCTTGAGTAAGCCCATTTTTCCAAACCCATTAGAGACCGATTTTTCTAAATCTTCTGCAAGTCATATAAAATCTCCTACATAAATCCTATTTTACGTTATTGATGAATTAATGGATCCATTTTTCTTCAGAGACCACAGCATCCGCTTACAAATGTCCCTATAGACAAGCCGACTGATCCTGATCTGGCATCTTGGCTCATACAGCAGGTGATTACACAAACAAAGTAATCCTTCTCATCTTGATTTCAAAGCTTACAGAGACAAAATTGCGAGCTCTGGAATCAGAATTTTGCCTTGAAGGAGTGCCTTCGAAATATCGAGCTGGAAAATAGCGTGCTGAGAGAGATGTGCCGTCA